CCTCCTCTCTCCTCCCCCTCCACTCTTCTACTCCCCCACGCTCTCTCTTCCGGCTCCCCCTCCTCCACTTCAGCTCCTACTTGCCCCCTCCACGACTCCCTGCTCAGTTCCTTCTCCCTAGTAGTGTTGGTCTGTCACGCCAGAAGTCTCGAGTTCAAATGCCGTTTCTCCCAGGCGGTATAAGGCTGACTGGCTGAAGGCATTAGTCTGCTAAACTCAAGCAAGTGATCCGTATGCTTATTCCGAATATACATATCTATACTTACCGTAAATAAACACTGCCCCTTTTTATCTATTGCTTCTCACCGTCAAAACACTGCCCTACCTATTCCTTCCCATTCGTTCTGCCGTCTATTCTTCTTTCTCCTTATTTGCAAAAATCCGCACACACTCGTTCGCAAAAGTCGCTAGCCGCATCCGATCGCTAGCTCCTCCTTCCTTTCCCCCTCCTCTCCTCCTCTGATTGCGTCCTGTCAATCCCCAGCACTCGTATCGAGGACATCACAACTCACGCAATCTTTCTCCGTAGATCATCCATCGATCTGCATCTTCTCCTCCTCCTTTCCTCGGACTCTCTGACCCTCAAGTCGTCCGGTCCCCTCTCCCCTAGCTCCTCCCTCCCTCCAACACTAGAGAGAGAGAGAAAGAGAGCACGGGAATGGCGAACTGATCCTAACTATCTTTCCCTTATTTCCATAGCAATGCAACCACCCTCACACCTTTGGAGAGGTTGTGGGTTTCGTTGACCTCCTCGTCAACCTCCTCCTCTTCTCCACCTCATCTCCTCCTCTTCCTCCTCCTCCTCCTCCTCCCCTGATCCCGCTCTCCTACTACTCTTACCCCCCTCTCTCCTCCTGTTGTGATGTCGCAGTCAATCACCTTCCTCACTCTCACAGAGATCCTTTGATGTTTTGGCCGCCAAAGATTTTCCTTTTACCGTCCTAGTCCTCATGGTATTGCCTCTTTGCACATTTGCCCCTTTGACGTCTTGGCTTGATACGTGCGTCGCCAGAGAAGTATACCCTTCTCTACTATTCCCCACGAGAGTGCCCTCCTGAAAGAGGACAATGAATAAATATACACAAGAAAGACGGATGCACGGTGCTCCTGCACATCCTCATCCTCACCCTTTCCTCCGCGTAGAATGCTGACCGCCTCCCTCCTCCCTCTCTCACCTACAAGCAGCAATAACAAATTTCTCGGGATTTGAAACTTGGATTGGTTCCAGGATGCACAAAAAGACAGGCCTCTACCAAATCCCAACCAACATGTCGACGACCAGTACACTGACAAAACCGATAAAGATCGAATGCGTCTTCGCTCCAAGATACTCAAATGAAATGTGCAAAAAATGAGAATGAATCTTCCGCTAAAACATGGCAACATGCGTCGCCATATTTCGTCTTTCTTTTGAGGATGTCGAGAGTAGTGGAGCAAGCGAGGCCCAACGCCGAACCAAATGACCCCACCCAGATCCCGATCCAAATGACCACCCAGATCCCGACCCAAAACTTCGATTTAATTTACAAAATAGATAGATCAAACAGACAGATTAGGTTAAACCCACCCACCCCGCCAAACCAAACCAAGAGCTACGGCCTCAGAAGAGATGAAAGGGCCTCAGAAGAGATTAAAGGGACTACTTACTACGAAGCCTGTCGTGAAGCTCAACCTGTGGAAAACGGAAACATACTGTAATAAGAGGAGGACGCAAGTGGCGGAGCTTGTTGTCTTACAAAAAAAAAAAAANAAAAAAAAAAAAAAAAAAAAAAAAAAAAAAATCTTGGGAAGAATAATCCAGATATATCAGTCAAGAGATGTTTCGCCCTTCGCGCTTGGAACGGTTCCGGAGGAGAATGAAGGTTTGGAACCAGACAGAGAATGAAGGTTTGGAACCAGACAGAGAATGAAGGTTTTTGCACGGCCCTCCCTCGCTGCGTGCGCATGGATGCCACGCATCAATCGAGAAACGATCGATTAAAAAAAAAAAAAAAAAAAAAAAAACAATGATTCGGAAAAGATCTGCATCTCATTTCTGGGAAGAGATCTGGAAAGCAGTCTGGAACCGGACACACGAGAGAAGAGGCCCATTTTGGAACCGGGCCACGAAACCAAGGAGAGGCCCGTTCTGGAACTGGGCCCGTTATGGAACTACGCCTGTTATGGAACTGCGCCTGTTATGGAACTGCGCCTGTTATGGAACTGGGACGCGAAAGGAGAGGGCCGTAAAGATCAATATCTGCGACAAAAATTTGGAAAAGATACAGAACGGAAGGTCCTGCAGAGATGGGGAGACAGGTCGAGGAGGACATGCGGCTAGATGACAGGCAAGAGAACAGGAAAGAGGACAGCGAAGGGAGGTCCGCGAAGAGGTGGGACTAGAGAGGTATGGCAATTTGGGACAATGTGGGACTGAGTCTGTGAAAGGCTGTTTGAAGGTTGTTAGGCAGCGGCCAGAAAAAAAATCCATCGAACCAGTTGTTGCCGTCTTCACCCTAATTCCTTAATACTAATAGAACGCCCGGGGTCATTATCGCCTCCGTATCTAGACCCAAAGTTGGCCCCAATACAGCTATACAATGACAGGGAGGGTAGATCCGTGGAAAGGCTCGCTCCTCGGGGAGAGTTCCAGAAACGTTGAGCCGTGCGAGATGCCTCTGCAGCAGATCCTAGGAAGAGTATGACCTGTGGTCGGGATCGGGGATTTGATAAGTGTCCAAGCTTGTCGCGACGCGAAGGAAAAAGCGGACCGTGAAACTATAAGGGGCCTCGCTGCACTACTCTCTGCAGATGCAGCAAAAGACAAAAAAGATGGCAGTGTATCTTTCGATGTTCTAGGGGTAGATTCAGTCTCATTTTGCACATTTGAAGGGCAGTGCAGCGAGGCCCTAAGACAAGCGGAATGTACAGAATAAAAAAACAATTCTCATAATAAATTTAAAAAAAGGGACAAGCGGTTCGAGGTGGTCACTACCGTCTTCCTTCGAACACAACGCACCCTCATTTTGGCTTGTATACATTCATTTTTAGGGTGCGTTAACCCAGATTGTTACAAGACTGATCAGCGATTCCAAATTAGGAAAAGCGCGCACTTTTCCGTTGGCTTGCTATTTGGTATTTCCTATTTAGGATATTACCGTGCAGATACCTCCTAAGGACCTCGCTCCACTACTCTCCTCGACATGCACAAAAGACAAAAGCCATGGCGGTGTATTTTTCCATGTTCTAGTGGAAGATTCATTCTCAAATTGCACATTCGAGTAGAGGAGCAAGGCCCTAAATACCGGTCTACAAACTGAGTGTTCAACATCTCATTCATTGCACAGAAAAAGAAAAAAAAAATGCATAAAACACAAAAAATCTCAAGATCGGAGGGGAGGGGGGAAAATGACGACAGAGATCGACCAAAAACAACCAAAAAAAAAAAAAAAAAAATTCCGAAAAACTCTCCCCGTTTCTAGGGAAGGAAAAAAGGCTCTCCTAAAATTAAAAAAAAAAAAAAAAAGGCTCTCCTAAAGATAGAAACGACCACCCCCCCCCCAAAAAAAAACAATCCCAAGGTTCAAAACAGGCCCTAAGCTCTTTTGGCGGGAACACTGGGCGGAAACCTCGACAGAAATCTTCTACTGGAAATCCCCCGAGATCGCGCCCGAGGATTTGAGCGGGAACTCTACGCGCGGGAAGCTCTGAGCGGGGATTTTGATTTTTGGCGGGAACTCTATGTGCAGGACGATTGAGCGGGAAATGCGGGCGGGAACACCTGCAGAGAATCCTCAGTGCGAATCTCGACCGGTAATCCTGCGAATTCCGCGGAATTCCGCGTGCGCGAATCGTTGGCGGGAATTCTAGGCGGGAAGAAATCCATACCGGGATCCTAGGTAGGCGCGAGTCCTTGGAAGAAATCCTGAGGCGGGTAAGACTACTGCTGGCGTTCTTCTGGGAAAAACACAACGTTTAGGTCAGTGCTAGCCTTCCCGCTGCCATTTCTTTCGCCCAGTGGATCTCCCATTTTGCACCACCCTACTCCATGTCAGCCATTTCTTTCTCCCAGTCCTCTCTCTCTCTCTCTCTCTCTCTCTCTCTCTCTCTCTCTCTCTCTCTCTCTCCATTCCCTCTCCGTCATTCCTCAGTTCCCTAGCTTCTGTTTGTACCACGCAGCTCTACACCCATTGTCCATCAGGATGCACCACTCCCATCGCAATGGATCTCCCACTATCCATCGGGATGCACCTCCCTACTCCACATCTTCCATTTCTTTCTCCCTCTCTCTCTCTCTCTCTCTCTCTCTCTCTCTCTCTCCACATCAACTCCACTCTCCATTCCCTCTCTGCCATTCCTCAGTTGCCCCGGTCTCCCATGCCGCTCACCCGCCACCGTTCCTCACTGCTGTCCTATCTGTCTTCCTATCTGTCTTCCTATCTGTCTTCCACCTTCCTATTTCTCTCCTATCTTCCACCTCCACCTCCCCATTTCTTTACCGCTTAGCACAACTAAACTGAAATGAAATGCAACGACTACTGACTTCAGGACGGCACAGCCTCTTTAACTCTTGTTCGTATAATCAACATACAAAAAAGGACGGCTGTCACAGAAGCTCAACCAATCAATAGTCCGCATTCACGGAATGACTAAAGGACAGCGATAGAGAAATCAAAGGGGAGAGGGGGGGGGGGGGGGGGGGGGGAGGGAAGACAGAGAGAAATAAACACAGTAGATTGAAAACACAAAAAAGAAAAAAGCAAATCGGACGGAAACAACAGTCTTAACAGAATATATATATTCAAAAAGTGCACGACAGCACTCTCGATGAGTTCCGCCGTTGCCACGCAGCTTTCGCATATCGCTATGGCAAAGCGCGCCGCCGTGAGCGTGGACACCCGTGTATATATAAAGTCACACCCCGGAAACCGTAGGCAGGGAGGGAGAAGAGGACAACAAATGAGGGGCTGTGGCTTTCACCGACTCATCAGCAGGTTGAATCCTCGTATCTATCTATCAATGAATCTATCTATCTATCTATCTATCTATCTATCTATATATCTATATATATATCGTCACATAGATATCAGAGCGCAAAAGCGAAAAAAACTAACAAAGGAAACAAATATCGTCAAACAGAGGAGCTGCCCGGTAAACCGTAGTAGGCAGAGAGGGAGGGGAGGGAGAGGACACCAAACGATGGGCTGTGACAAACTGTTTCGTCGGAGTATATGTCGTCCTACATACGTCCTACATATGTAAGGAAGAAGATAAAAAATGAATTGATATCTTTTTTGTTTCCTTTTGTTTTTTCGCTTTTGCGCTCTGATGTTCATGTGACGATACATATACATATATAGATATATTATAGGGTTCAGCCTCCCGATGAGGCGGTGAAACTCCAACGAAGCAGTTTGACACAACCCCTCGTATGCTGTCCTCTTCTCCCCCTCCCTCTCTGCCCCTACGATTTACCGGTATATGCGCACATGCACGTCACCGTATACATACCCAGATATGGAACAACAACAACACAACCCAATACGCGCAGATCTGTACATACAGACAATGGGCATCGCTCCACCGCTCACCAAATTTGCAACAAGACAAAGAATCTTCCGCTAGAACATGGAAAAATACACCGACATAATGTTCTGTCTTTTGTGCATGTGGTGCGTGGTGAAGCGAAGCCCAATATATGGGCATATTGAGTCTGTATAGACATACAGATATGGCCATGTGCATCCATACATATGTCGTAGATATACGTACATATACTAATGGGCATATACATACGACAAATACCGGTAAACAATATGCAATATAGATCTATATACATCTACATCTTACATCTAGAGATAGAAGGACAGAAAAAATGAAAAGCGAGGACACTCGAGTTCTTTCGTTCATTCTGAGTTTTTTTTTTCTCTTTCCATCTTTTTCTGTTCTTTTCCCCTCTTTTTTCTTTACTTTACTTTTCATCCAAGTCTTACCCCTTTCCCATTGGGTGCTAAAGCTAAACTCCCCGGGAAGTGCTCCCCTCCCCCCCCCCCAACCCACAACCCCCAAACCGTTCTGCTTGTTTGATGACAGCAACAAGGTCCAAGAAATTAACGTGAGATTAACTGTCATCACTCAGCAGTGGCCCCCCAGCACAGCATTCCTGACAGATAGGAAAGGAAAGTAACAAGACTAAGTAAGATGTATGTGTGTGTATGTAAATAAATAAATAAGGAAATAATACGACTGGCAACCAACCAACCACACAGGAAAAAAACAGTCGGCAAACAAACGACAAAAGAGTGGAAAAAAGCTTTTCTCTGTGTCGTTCCAATTTTAACGGATGTCCCCAAGGACTCAACGGGATCCCAGCTACAGACAAGGACTCACGAAGAAGAAGGTTAAACCAAAGGAAGGAGAGGACAGCACAGACAGCAACACATTAAGCACAGCACATCCATTCATGTTAGCATTGTAATAATATAAGATAATATATAATTAAAGAACACACACACACACACACACACACACACACACAGATATATGTATATATTTGTCACACTGTATGGGCCTCGCTGCACTACTCTCGAAATGTGCAAAACGAGAGTGAATCTTCCGCTAGAATATGGAAAGATGCACCACCATGATTTTTGTCTTTTGTGCATGTCGAGAGTAGTGCAGCGGGCACTATGTATGCACATACATACATAGTCAAACAGAGGAGCTGCCCGGTAAACCGTAGAGGCAGAGAAGCAGAGAGGGACAAGACGGAGAAGACGACATGAAACGAGGGGGGGCTGTGACAAACTGTTTCGTCGGGAGTTTCACCATATATACATATATAAATATATATAATGTCACATGAATATCAGAGCGCAAAAGCGAAAAAAAGAAAAAAAAGAAAGAAAAAATGAACTCGTTTTGTTATCTTCTATCGTTCTAAATCCGTAGATAAAGTCGAACCAAAAAGAAGTTAGTTTGACTGGCCACGTCGTAATCTATCAACATTTACAAATACTATATCACATATATATCGTATATATTATATATCGTCACAAAGATACATATATACACATACATATATATCGTATAAGAAAGCACATACTTACAACTAATTAATCATGATGCAATGAAGATGGAGGCAGAGCATGGCGTGCAGAGTGCGATTCAACAGGGGCATACCTTGCTACGGCAGACTGTCGATCGGCGGGCGAAACACAGTGTTGTCCCTGCAGCCCCTTTCCCCCCCTCTTCTCTTCCCACAAAGCGCAGCGGTGCGCAAGACAGAGTGGCGCACGGTGGCGCGCAACACAGCACAGCGCGTGCCCGAGCCGCCAAGCACGCAAACGCAAGACGATGCCAGACGATGCCGACGCTTCGGCGCGGTTTCCTCTTCTACTGAAGAGCAGGCGCCACTACGGGCCTCGCGTTTTGCGCGTCCTTCTCGTTCATCCCTGCCGCACTGAACTCGTACGCGTCGCGCTCACTAAACTCAACTCTACTGAGATCACTGCGGCCCGCTGCGAACCCCGGCCAAATTTCTGGGGGGGCAATGTACGACAAATATGACAATAGGGGGGCATATGCCGCAAGGGTTAGGGCCTCGTTGCACTACTCGCCATCCGGCAACATCTTGATTGCATGTGGACAGAAAGGTTGTCCAGATGCATTGTAAGCCCCTAGTTTGCACTACTCGCCATCCGCCAAGAATTCGAATGCATCTGGACAAACATGATGTCCACATGCAATCAAGATGACGCCATCCGGCAACATCTTGATTGCATGTGGACATCATGTTTGTCCAGATGCATTCGAATTCTTGGCAGATGGCGAGCAGTGCAAAACTAGGGCCTTACCCTTTGGATTGTGTACCTGTGTGTGTGTGGAGGTGTGTGCGGCAGGACGAGATCACAACAAGCTGTTGCTGAAAAGGGGTCTCAATCCGCATAAAGGGGGTCTGAAATTGGGCCACCAAATGAGCAAAATAAGAATAAATCTTACACCGACATATTTTTTGTTTCTGTCTTTTGTGCATTTGGTGAGTAGTGTGGAGCGAGGCCCATTTGCCACTCGGAATTGATTGCCCTCCAAAAAAAAGTAACATCGGACGGATCCTGATGGGGGGACAGATGGGTCAATACGAACCGACGAGCCTACCAGTGGCTCAGTTGGCTCAGTTGGTACACCGATGAACTGTTGAACACACAGAGCTGAGTTTGAACTGCGGTCAACACAGACGAGCGAAAGAAACTGATACCACGCTGGGCATGTGGGCGCAGCCAGGAGGATGGGCAAATGGACAACCAAAAAAAAGAATTTTTGGCGGTGAATCTTCGCATCATCTAGGGGCAGATTCAGGGCCTCGCCACATTACTCCCGACTTGGATTTTTTTGAGGCCGGGGTCCTCACAATTCCACCAGGGATGAGTTATCCCTGCAGCATCAGCCTGTTTAGCTTATGTGTCAACCTTCCCTGTCTCTTCTCTCCTCAACTCTATTCCATTACCTCTTCTGGGTTCAATTTATCTTCCCTTTCCTATTCCCTCCCCTATACTAGCTCTGTTCTACTCTATCCTATTCTACTCTCTAAGTTTCCAAGGTATTGAAACAGGCAAAAGTATCCTGGGGGGGCGCAGCACGGCCGGGAGCGCTGCGCCCCACCCACGCAGACCGACCGAGCGGCTCCAGGCGGCAGCAACGACGTGAGGGAGGGTGCAGTGCGGCGGCGCGCTGTAATATTGGGGGGAGGGGAGGGGAGGTGGTTGAGTGGCTTAGGACGCATGGAGGACAACATGAAGGATGGTGACGAGGATGCGGAGAGGTTGCTTGTATGAAGATGTTGGTGATGGTGCCATGTGAGGAGAGGTTGGCGACGATGTCACATGAGGGTTCATGGTTAGTAGCTTAGTCCCCTCCGCTCTCCTTCATCCATACTGCGTGAAGTGGCGGACAAAGGGTTCTATTGAGGGCTTAAATCTCCTGTGATAACTCGTCGACGGGCTCAACGAGGTGTTACCACACCATACAGTACTTTGTGGATGGTCGTTGATACCTTTGTTGCTGGCGTCGACTCGGTGGTCGGCAGCTGGGGCTGTTATAGCCGCCAGATGGAGAGAGGCTTGATGTTCCCCTCCCAAAGGTGGGGGGGGTTCGTTAGAGTGATGGTAGGTGGATGAAAGGGAGGCAGAGGGAGTTTTTAGAAGGACTCTTCATTGAGAATAGCGCTTCAAGGGGGAAGGACGACATCGCCATCTCAGGTGAAGTTTGCTGCGGGTGATGAAGGTTTGCGCGTCGACACGATCTCAGGGGTTCTGATTTGATTGATTTTGTATTGCCTGCTTGTCCTCTCTATTTTGATTCCTAAGCTTGTATGTTGTAACCCTTCATGCTCATCAAATGATGATGATCTAATTCAAAATTTCTGAATTTTTCTGATTCCTAAGTTTGCATATTGTAATCCTTGATGCTCATCCAAGGATGACGAATCTAATTCAGATTCAAACTTTTGAGTGAATCTTGATTGTTCTAATTTTGTGCTTTGATTTCCTATGAATTCCAATACATTGTGTTCTGGTTTCCGATCCCTGATATCAATCACATATCAACCATAAATTTGAAAAATCCTTTCAGATATACAAATTTAAAAGTCATCGCATATGTCTAAAAGTCATCGCATAAGTCTAACTTTTAATTTGGAAATTGTTTCGTCTCTTGATACTGATACTTATAAATCAGATTTTGAATCCGAATCTCTTGATTTTCATGACTCAACTCGGTTGCATGAAGTTTTGATACTCATAAATCAGCTTTCGAATTCTATCCTTTGATTTCCATGACTCAACTTGGTTTATAAACTCGGATTGCCCTCCCCTGATGAGTTAGCTTTGGTTTGGGGGAGGCAGGTGAAGGTTCTGATCAGTTTTGGAGGTTTGGGTAGGCCAGGCAAGTTTCAGATGGAGGATCACTTTCGGTTTTCTTCTGCGAACTATGTGGTGGAGGAGGTCGGCTTGTCGCAAGAAGAAGTTGAGGGTTGTTCACTTTCATTTTTTCTTCGTCTCGCGAACTATGGGTGAAGGAGGCCGGCTTATCGCGGGATGCAGTTGAATAAGGGGGGTAGGAAGAGTGTGGGTAGGGATCAGGTGTCCTTTACTTGCCTATGGAACAGGCGTGGGACTGAAGTGGAGGGGGGAAGTTTTTATTGGGTAATATAGCGTCCCGCTGGTGAGGAGGGCTAGCTGGCGGGATTGGATTAGGGCACAACTGCAGTTGAGATGGTGGCTTAGTTGTTGTAAGTCTGTGCCAAAAGGCGGTAAGGGGATGGGAGGTTAGGGTGCTGCGCCTGTTTTGCGATGGAGTGAACTAGTTTTTCCTCCTCCTTCGAACTATGTGGTGGAGGAGGTCGGCTTGTCGTAGGAAGAGGAAAAATTGAAGTTTGTTTTTCATCGCTATGTTTTTTTTGTGAAGTCATTGGTCTATTATTATTATTTCCCGAACTATGTGGTGGAGGAGGTCGGCTCGTCGGGAGATGAAAAAAAGTAGGGAGTGAAAGGAAACAGGAGGAGGGCTGACTGTATTCATTTCGAAAAAAAAAAAATCTCTAAAAAAATAGATCTCAAGGTTGACCATACGCGGATGGTTGATTGATGGTCTTAAGAATGTTTTTGGACCCTGGAGCCTAACAATTCTTCTTAGGTGGTTTCAATGTTGTTAGACTCAGTGACTTATGGTTGTGCTGGGGTGTTGCCCTGTGACCTGCTGACGCAGGAGTGTGAGGCCTGGTAGAGAGATCTAGGGATGCTTTGGGGTGGGCATTCCACGAGACAACTAAGGGTTGGTGCTGGGACGGCGCTGGTCGGAGTTGGGGTGAGTTATGTTGCCCTGTAACCCATCAAGATGTGGGGGTGTGGGACCTGGAAGAGCTCGGCAGGGAGTAGGACAGTGTTGGAGTGCTTTGGAAGGGTTTGTTAGGGATTTCAAGGGTTTTTGAACATTTGTAGGACCTAGGAGGTCTATTTCTTTGTTTCTTGTATTGCTCATACGTTTTCTAAAGAGACTGAGGTGAGTGGGAGAAGGAAAAGGTGGGATATTACGCGTCCTACTAGCAAAAGGGCTAGCTGCCAGTAGCAGGACAGGAATAGGGTACAACAACAGCGGAGATGGTGACTCTACTGCAGTAAGTCTTGTCGGAGTGGGGTGCAGGGGATGAATTGGGGTTTGAGTCTTTTAGGTGAGTGTGAGAAGTAGATGATGGGATATCAAGCATCCTACTAGTACGGGGGCTAGCTGGTAGGATGGAAATAGGGTACAACAGCAACGGAGATGTTAGCTCTGTTGCAGTAAGCCTTGTCGGAGAGAGGTAAAGAGTATTGATGGGGGGTTCCTGAGTCGGTTTCTGAATCTTGTCCAATTCTAAAGTTTGTCGTATTCTCCTAAGTAGCCCAATTTTTTTCTTAGCCAAAGTCGGGTAATGGCCCCAGTATCTCAAATTTTCAAAATTCGATGTAATTTTTCATATGGGACGCTGGACCCGGTTCCTAGCACATGTTGCTCCCCACGAATAGACTGGCGCCTTGTTCCCATTTAAAAAATAATAATAAAAAAAATAAAATAAAGGTCTAAGCCGACCTGATCTCAGCCTACCCCGACTGATGGAACCAAAGTTCCTCCAATAGTGATGCTCTTTTGGACGTACCAGAGAGTCTACGGCGACCAAACCTGAAATCTGCAGCCGAGCATTCAGGTTGCCTACCCCGAGTCCCTACTTCCCCTACCCCTCCAATCTATCTATCTATCCTATCTATCCAACCAGGGTGATGTGACCAGTTTCCCCTCTCTCATTTCTGCAAGGGCCCCTGGGGTTGCCCATATTTCCTTGAACCATCACAACCCTTCTTGTTTGTTCTCCTGCAGCACTCTCCTTCTCCAATCCGCCCGGATTTCCAATTTCAGCAGGTTCCAGAACACCTTTTCCGCCTGTTATTCTGACCATTCTTGGGATTTGAATTTTCTCTCATTCCTGTCTAACCAAATGACCCACATCATTATTGCCCGGGATGACTGGGCAATGTACACCCATCCCTTACACTAGCTTCCCCTTGTTATGTGAACCCTTGCAACACCCAGACCATTTTCTGATCAACCTTCTTCCCTGACTTCCTTTCCCAGTGTGCAAACTACCAGAGCCACCACTTCCTTGATCTAGGACAGTCCCACCACATGTGCGTCATTGTCTCTCTTGGCCATGTACACCTGTCGCACTCCAGTTTCACATTCATTCCTCTTTCCTGCAGCTATTTAGCCGTAGGAACTGCCAGGTGTGACTGAAGCCATAGTAGTGAAGCTACCTTATGGGAAGGAAGATGTGCTAGCTGCTTCCATAGACGACTCAGTTGGTCCTCGATTGGTGTTGGCAGGAACGACTGCGCGGCTTCCCATCTGGAAATAAGTTTCCTCATTA